CAATAATAGTAATCGTTTGCGTATTATAGTCAGTCGTGATGTAAAGTGTATTTAGATAATAGAAAAAGAAAAATAATATAACCTATCTTTTATGTTATTTTATATGCACTCGCATTGTCTCTTGTTTCAAAATGTACATATCTTTATCTTCACGCCAGATGCTGCTGAATGTTAAATTGACGTGTGTGCTACTTTTGAAAATACTCAAGATTTCAATTATCGAAAACTTCTAATTCTAGATGGTGTAACAATCGGGGACTATCGAGAAATTACTATTCTCGTGGTCTTGTTCGTGAGATATGAGATAAGGCTAACGAGTAACCTTGGCCCAGTAAATCACTCGCAAACCGCTTTTTATGTCCTTTCCATAACAATTCACGGATAGATGGAGACACAACCTTATTTAATTAGGATATCTAGCTAAAAAACACTAATAATGATTAATAAGCAAATGTAAATAACGGTATGGTAGATTACGCGATCAATATTTTTTAACTTTATTGCACTACAAATTGTACTGAGTGCAGACTTTGGCCAGCAAGCAAAAAAAAAATGTATTTCACATCTATAGAGATCGGTTGGGTCTGTCGGGTATAAAAATATTACTTATAATATCTATTTATATAACTATTACTCAATAATTATACTCTGATCAAATTTATTGGGGTCTTGAAGATATTCACGAACTTCACGCTACAACTATTAAACAGTTTAAAGTGACATTACCCATACAAATATGACATTCATTAGAGCTTAAAGGCGTCATTAAACCTTAACTGACGTTTGTGCAACTGTCTGTGAGTTTTTAATATGTTTTTTGGTCAAACAAATATAGAAATTTAAATTAGAGAATTCGGCCACTGGATAGTTAAAATGGCATCTTTACAAAAGCCACTAATGTTTTTATCGTTGTGTCGGATATATTTTCTCGTTTATGAAAGCAGCAAGCATTAAATTGTTTATTATTATTATGAGCATATTATTACTCACTTTATATAATATGGAACACTGCTGGCTTACTCATTCCACTGTTATTCTCATAATTAACACTAACCATTTCATTGCTGAGATGATCTTTTATAATTACAACGGACGTTACTTAATAATTTAAAATGGTTCCCTTTTCATTGATAGCATCACCAACATTATTTCAAGTGATGTTTTTGAATATAACAACTTTTAGGTAGTTCGAACGTCCTTGATTTTCCTACTGACATTCCGGTCTAGTTTTTTTTATGGATGTTGGCACGAATCACATGCCTTCGACCAGCAAATCACAATTCAAGCTGACATACCAATCTAAATTTATATCGTTTCAAATGTAATTGAAAATAGGACTAATAATATTAATCGAATTAAATCCATTTCAAAAATAATGTGCGTGTACACCTTTAAATAGCTATAATAACTTTTAATATAAACAGTCTAATAAAAAGCTCATAAAATAGTACATTACTGTAATGACTTGACGTTTGACGAGTTCCAGTGACCACGATCCTCAGTAATGAGGGACCGACTACGGAGAGAGTTACTGTAATGTTAATAGAAGTTATACACTGTTATTATAGCTGATAAGTCTTATTTCAGTAGAACATATGTGTCAAATAAAGTTTATAATTTATACGCAAGGTGGAAGTTTCCTCTCCAGCGTTGCAAGTGTTTGAGAAAAAAAGACATCTGCAGTACCTAATGCTCATATTACTCACTTACATATTTTCATCTCTGTTACCAACAGTTCTATTGGCATCATACCAAATATTTTAAATTAATTCAATCCATTACATAAAACGTTCGTTGTCTTCCATTTTATTTATAATCTTTCTTAAATGTTTCAATAAAACTATTATGTTAATTTTCCTGTTGATTCTTCTCATTTGTCGTTTAAACTTAATTTGTCGATAACTGTTCCTAAATTAGACCGAATACAATTTCACTCAATATATCCTAGAAATAGTCTATAATCATAGATAAAACCGTTTTCTTATCTACTTTGCGTTGCGTGACTATTTTCGTTTAGCTTTTAGGCTTGGATTACGACAATTTCACACGATATGCCTCTCTTAGAAAAAATACTACGTTATATCGTTTCCTTGTATACTTACTTAAAAACTACGGGTAATACTGTTCTCCCTGTGTTTTTCTAATAAAATTCTTAAAATAATTTGCCTAAATGTATCGTTAACTCGGTTTTCTAGAACCTATGTGAATTATTTATGGTAACGATATGATAAAATCAGAGATTTGGTCAAATGACGGGAGATATTAAACTTAAAACTCGATTTTAAGCGATTTTTTTTTTATTAATCAGTGATATTTTCATCATTTTTCGGTAAAAAATTTCATAAAAATGAGTACGTGATCTTAAAAAAATTAAATGAATCAAGAGCCACGCACGTACCGGTGTAATAATTTCAAAATATAAAATAAGGAAAATATTTGTAATTATACAATATAAATAGTAACTGTTTCATGGCTTATATTCAAATAATTTATATTTTTCATCATTTCACTAAACAAATATTTGACTAACCTGATTTAGTCATATCCCTGCGACGTATGCACATACCGAACAATTATCTAAGCTTTGCTATTAACTACATAATACTCATAATATGATAAGTAAATACCTCCTCATTCTTAAGTATTATTTACTATAGAAATCAGTAATCCTTCTAAGGTATCTCTTATTCTAACATCAACCCCCTTACTCTCGATCACAATCGTGACTGATCGACATTGCAATTGTGCCGCTCCTCACTCTTGATTGGTTCACTAGCATATTCTGGCGCTAGATTTGATTGGTTCACTAGCATATCGGTCGCAATTGCGTTCAAGAGTAAAGGGGCAGATCAATGAGATCTACCGACATGTATGTAAATTATTGTTTTACTAAACATAATTCCATTGCGTATCGGAATCGAAAGGTATTAATAATTTTCAGCAAACTGTCGTACTTGGATTTCCAAATCTATGCCCTTTTTTATCTTCAGAAAATAATAAGTAGAACCTTTCTTTAATTCAATTAAAGAAAGCAGCCTTTGATGTTTTTGCCGCTCCAGATCTTTATCGTTGAATTAAAAAAAAATTCCAAACGATTGACTGCTCGCTCAGTTAACTGTGTTTTATATAACAATCTATGTTATAAATTTATTTTAAACTTTTAAGGGGTCAAGAAGATACTGTCTTATTTTTTGAATTGTATTATCTCTTTAGTTCTTTAATATTCATTCAAATCTGTCTTGAATGATACACCCCGCTTACATAAATTATATCCTTTCTTATAAAAAGCTATTTGCTGTTGAAGCCAATAGATATTATAACAATATATCCAGTTAGATTAGAAAGACTTCCGACTTGCTTAGAGAATAAACTGATCTGTTGGATAAGTTCTCTTATTAAGATCCACGCGCTTTGTGTTGTGACTATTAATCTTTATCAGTCGCGTTATGTCGAGATCTATCTCTATACCTTAGAGGTTAGTCCTGCGTGTGACAATGACAATATTTATCTCAGAATTTCTAGGTCTAGAATCATTACTGACATCCTCAGTGTGTTTTATTTTTAACATTTCAGCAAAAACGTAATGTAACAGAACATTATTTATAGTCAAGTTAAAAAGTATTACATTAAGAATAACATGTGGGTACATGTTACATCAGAAAGGTTCAAACTTCATCTTATGTTTAATAGGGGATCTTTGGACTAATGAGTTGTAGTCGTTTGCCTTTTTCAAAAATACAATAAGTATTGCTTAATAAACTTGATTAACAAAAATGCAAGTTTCAAGCTTCGTCATCCTAGTTGAAAGTGGAACTCTGAAGTTTTTTGTCCTCTTCTGGATCCTGAGGCAACTTTCTGTAGTCAAAATTAACATAACTTTGGTGTTAGATAAGGAATGTCGATTAACAAAATATATCTCCGTAACTTAAACGACAACTGTATCATTTAGTGCACCTTAAAACTTATTTTATACGAAATATTAGTAATAGCTGAAAAAAATCATAGAATACTATTAAGTAAACACAATAAACGCATTTTACGTAAGAAGCTATAATTAACAAAGTAAAAGTGTATCCGGTATGTTGCCCTAAAGGTGCCAACTCAATTTTTGCTGCAATTAGTTACAACGCTCATTCACTTCACTGACACTGCGGTAATGACGCTCCGCTTGAAAAAAGAAAAGGTACAAATACGTATCTATATTACACATAATAATAAACTAATGACCCAAATCGAAACATTAATGGGTACAGTGTTAAAATAGAGCTTATACCAGATCTGTGCGATGTGATGTAATATAACATGCAAAGTTTTTGCAATATCCAGTACGATATGACACAGTCCGACCACTATTCAATCTCATTATTTCTGAACGTATATATCCAAAACCCATATCAGACGTGACCGCAAAAACGGGATTGCAGAAATCTTGTCTAACAAATGTCCAGCTAACCTCACATTTCGACTTATGATGCTGCTGAGTAAAGATAAAAAAAAATCTTTACTTCATTTCTCCGCCTATTTGAACTAGGGGCTCGGGGGAGTTGACGGTAAATACTCCCGTAATTTATTTCGTCCGCACTCGACACGCTTTATTCTTCTCTACTCATTTATTCAGCAGTGTGACTTGCCGTATTTCTAAAAGTCTGCACAATTGTATTTAAATTTTCGGATACTGTAGTAAAATTCAGTTTATTTCAAGGTTTTCTAGTTTACGTTACATCAATGTGGTAAACATTCTCCTTTCCTTGTTCTCATAGAGTGCCTAAAATATCGATTAAAGAAAACAGCAATAAGACGTATGGTATTCGAAGTGAAGCCCCTATCCAAGGAAAAAACCTCGATCTTGTAAACATCGGTAGTGGTGTGCTATACATAATGTATAAGACATAATTAACGTTCATTACTAGAGATTTATTGGTAAAGGAGCTCTACCACACTCTCTTTTACTAAATATTATCTGTAGAGACTATAGTTACTAAATAATTCTTTTGTTTCAGTTTTCTCCAAAGGCCAATGCGAAACCGGTCAATATCGCTTTTTGGCCAAATCTGGCGGTTACGCCTGGGTTCAGACTCAGGCTACAGTCATCAACGACAAACAACAAAAGCCCGTCAGCGTAGTCTGTGTCAATTATATCATCAGGTAAGTCTAAATTAAGGTTTTAATCATCAAGATGAACGGCTTGTTACATTAGTGTGTGTACAAATATTATCTTTCAGATTGTTTTAAAATTATTTCTGTTAATAAACTTATGACCATACGAAAACTAAAGGTAAGTACCATTTTCTTTATATTATTATTTATGTTAATTGAAATATGACCGGTCTGCCTTAATAATGTCACATACATACGTTATAGTCTATACAATATGCAGTAAACGAGTCCTATCTTGATAACTTACCTTTTAGTTAATGAAAAGCACTTTCAATTGGGTATGAGAATAGCTGTCAATTCTCTACGTTAGTTAATTGAACAAGCTCCGAGTATAAGACAGTTTAACAAATATGTTATTTTAGGCGGTATAAATTCATAAATATTTATAACAGTCAACCATAACAAGAATTATTCATAAGGGTTTGGTTAATTTCATTCGGTTAGACTTATTATATGAATGTGCAAAATCCGAATTTGGACTTTGATTTTAACGGTACTTTACGGCCCTTGGTCATGTGACCACAGACCCTGCAAAAGGTCGGAAACATCTGAAACGTGCAAAATTTAAACCAACGCTCTTCGGGCCTCGTTTAAGAGTTGTTTTATTAAATACCAAACAAAGGGGCGGTATTGTTCTCAAAGATCATGTTTCCGTAATTCAATTCCCTTTCTGTTTCAACCTATTCAAATTGATTTTAGCTTTGAACCTAAGTGTTGAACTTAAGCTTGTTGTCATAACTTTCATTTTCATTTCCGAACGTATATAATATTCCATTTCATAAATTTCCTACAGAAACACTTAAAGAATTCAACCGTCTCAGAAAAAATATCGAAAATAACGCTTTGGCTATTTTAATACGCAGCATGCTTTGAATATTTCAACAAATACAATCAGTATCGATATTAATAATGTATCAAAAATAATCATCGTTCCTAAAAGACAGGTAGACCTTGTTTTTCATAATTATTTTATTCCATCTAATTGTTTGTTCTTGATAATTCAACTTGTTTTCGAACATCGATAAGTGTGTAATTGGGATGATCCAGATTACATGTCAGGGGCGACACTTTGGCGTCTTCTGCTTCGATAAACGAATTTGTTGGCACACTATACTTATTATTCATTGGCTATACTGACTTGTCTTGTTTTATTATGCTAAATATACATTAACTGCTTAATGTCAATGGCATGAGTATTCATGCCATTGACATCTAGAAGCGTAAGTAAGACATTGAGTGTATTTATTTTTCTTATAACATCCTTGACATTGAACTTGTTTCTTATATGTAACTGTTAATTTCCAACCATAATCTGCATAAAAGTACCAAGATGATAATGACTACATTTAGATTCCCTTGACCTAAATGACTCACCGACGACTATCAAAATTAGTTTTCTGTACTATCATCACACGCGGATGATATAGGCTATGTAGGCGGGCAAAGCCAGGAGAAGACAGTGCCTAGTCTAAGTGGGCACTGGTTTCCAATCTATTCGTGTAAAATTTTAATTTATGATATAACGTGGTATACTATTGTTTGCCCTAATCATATTTACGTATAATATTTAGAAAGACTCCCCCTAAAGCGATAAATAAGGCACTAAAGCAAGGTGGTATTTGTTATTGACATGGTTTTAAAGTAAAATAAAGGGTAGTAGAAGTGATTGTTTATAATTTCCTGGCAGTTGCCTTTTTACGGTTACTTTCTATCGATCAACAATGTGGGTAATTCTTATAACAAGCGACCCACCCTGTTTTCACATGTACAATTTTTGTACATATATAACTTGGATAATTAGAGGTAACTCAATGGGAAAAATAAATCGTTGGATAACGAGTTGAGAGTCTTATGACTGGATAACTAAAGTATTAAATTATTATTTCCTTCGTTACGAACTTCTATAAAGGTAGATAGAAAAAGTTTTTCAGTTCATCGTTTGAACGGAGTTTTAATTAACACCATTAATTTGGGAAAGCCTTAACTTTAATGAAGTTCCTGTAAGGTAAATATGGATTTGGTGTCATTATATTTTATTGTACGTTATTTAATGAACTGAAATTGATGTGATACTAATACCTTAGCGTTAGTTTATGTAAATTATATTCAATATTATTTCATTATTTACTTCTTTAACCAGATAAATTCACTTTTTATATACTGTTACTTGAAAATCTATTTATGTATCTCTCTAAGTAGTCGTATGTTTTACTATCACTTTTTAAACTAATCATAATAGAGACCACCTTAACAGCCCTAATAGATACCGCTCAAGAGTCGGGAAAAATATTTATGATCTATGAATAGATTTACAATTTTAGTGATGTTTTTATTTTAAGCAAATAGTAATTTATGACATTCATAAAGAAGTCATATCATGTTTTAGAATCCTTTCAATTTATCAAGCCGAAATTAATACATTATCATTAACCATTTCAGTCTTATAATCATTCCATTTCTTATTAATTTACTTATATACTTTTTATATTACGAATACGGCCCTGCGAAATTTTACTGTCCTCGCTTTCTTATATTGTAGCGCTACACTCTCGTTTTCCCAACGATACCGTTTTAGTGTTCTCTCTTAAGTTTATTGGTCTCTGATCGTTGAAATCGTTTAATGAAATTCTTTACAGTTCAGTTTATTTTTAAGTTCCAATTGTTTTAATAATCACGAGGCACATTTATAGTATATTCTTACCACATCATTCCTCCAACATTACACTTTTCCTGCTGAATTCGAAGAAACTTCCCTCGTTCGTGTAAGTGTTCCGTCGAGTTTGTTCGTTTTATGGGTCCCGTTTCCCCACCTTGTGTAATTTGGAGAAAAGTTATTTTTAAAACAACTCAAATCAGTAGGTAAGACGGTAACATATTCGGAGATTACACTTTCAATTCTAAGTTGTAAGTCACACTAGATATTTAAATGAGACCACTTAGTCACTTACATCGTTAATAAATAATCAAACTTAATATTTTATCTTAACGATAGGTAATAGTCCATGGCAGTATATATTGAAGGGTGTCTGATAAATATATAACATGACATTATATTGCTATTTTTTACAAAATTATCATGTTCACGATAAGATAAGTAGTTAAAATGGTAGTATAGAAAGTTGTGAAATAGATGTAATGGATAATAGTTTTCTTAACATATAAATCTAGTGTTCATTGTTTCCCATTCGTCCCGGAATTCACTGGAGTGTTCATGAGCCTCATTTATCATTCGTTTTAGTAATTTAGTTTTGCCAAGTCTCTCCAGGCCTTTGTATTTCAAAGCGAAAATATTAACCAAATTCATCTTTACATAGTACTTATAAAACAAAGTCCCTTCCCGATGTCTGTGCGCTGACGGATTTAATGCAGTATTCATCAATATACAGATTTATTCAAGAGAAAGCTTTATATGTATACAGGATACATGCGGACGAAGATCCCTCGTACAGCACGACAATGAAGGAATTCTTGTTTGATTGGAAAGGTCGGACGGGCGTATTCATAAAGCACCGAATACTAATCTCTACAAAATCAAATAGCCCATTACGCATAATTATTCCTTTTAATGCATTTTCTCGGCCCGCTCTTGGTTGCTTTTGATCTATGCTCGATAAAAATGTACATCACTATGAAAAAAAGTTTAAAATAAAATGGTATAGTTTAAATAGTACATATTTAAGACCCACTAGTTATACCATACCTCTCTTTTTCAAGCACATGACATTTTCTTCTTGTGAAAACGAGAAAAACTATGTTCGTGAGTTTTGCTTAAATGTAAATATGTATGTAATCCATTTTGTAAATATTTTATCTTAGATTTATATATTTTTCATCGAGAAACGACCTAGAAACTCGTATCGTTTGAAATAAAAGAACCAAAACTTGTTTAAAACCACCATCTAAATTAAAAAACAAAAGCTTAAACGCTGTTGACTCCGAAACAAAGCTACAATTGATATAAGATACTTGATGTATTTTTAATTCAATACTTCGTGCGTTTGTTATTTACGAGCCGTATACACTAGAGAGTACTATTATTTGTTCTGTAATAATAGGTCAAAGGGTTCTTTACTATCATTTTGTTGGACTACATTATCGGAATCCTCTGATGAAATAAAACCTCTTTATCTTAAAAGGCGAACTATTAACAACAACGTTATTATTATCATTTTTAAGCGTGAATAAGATAAATATTTATCGAAACATATATATAGATCAGCAGAGTATCACACCATATTTCTATACGATTACTGTATATTTAATAGATTAAGATTTAGATGAAGACAATTAATTTTAAATTTAAAAGTGAAAAGTCAATTCAATAATGATTTTAGACATTTATTTGCAAAGCAAGTCCAGTTGCATCAGTTTGTTTTATCATAAACTAGCTGTTTTCCCGGGACTTCGCCCGTAATTCCAAAAAATACTCCCTACGAACAAAGCTAATACTTTCCATATTATAAATTTGATTGAAAACGATAACCTCAGCAAACAAAAAAGTCCATAAATTTGAATATAAACATACTTATATAATAGTATGTTGTTGATACACATTATAAATTGGGAATCGTGTAGTGCTAAGATTATGTCACCAAATTTATCTGTTATATTGGCACAGTAGTTGATTATTACGCTAAAAAAATACTTATCGCATGCGTATACAATGTTAACACTTAAAGTATTATAGTCAATAATAATGCTTGGTAAGAAATTGTATTCGTAGTAACTAAAAATAAATTATTGTTTTTATTTCGATTCAGATTTAAAATCAAATTTATTTCGATTCAGTGTAGCATGTAGCAACTAGTTGCTACATGCTACACTGAATCGATTAAAGCTGACACTGGATGGGTGGAATGGACTAGATACATCTAAATCACTTTTGTATTAGATCACAAAACAGGCATCCGTGATGAATTTCAATATGACATTAAGTCATGGGACATTGGCAAAGGAGAACACAATAATGATTCCAAATTTTTCCAAGA